CAGCTGCTCCTTGGTGGCAGGGAGCCAGCATTTTGTGACATGGCAGGATCCACCTGTTTTCATGCTGCTCTACGGTTTGCTGACGGCCCTGTCTCCACCCCACCCCATGCCTCCCAGTTCAGCCAGAAGCACGTAGGAACTGGCGGCCCCTGCCGGCTACACACACGGAGGCTGCTGTTTTTGACCACGTCCTACCATGCATGTTTCTGTACTGTTCTGTGATGGGCTTGCTGCCATTTTTGGAAGCCACAATATCCACCTGACCCCAACTCTCGATTCTGCAAGAAGTGCATCTGTTGTTGCGTAAAGTACCAGCGTGAGCAGCAAGGCTGCGATCGAGAGTTTGACTGATGTCAAGCCAGAAGTGGTCTTGGAGCATGGTTTCCAATGACGCCATTGGAGAAACATGTATCCAATTTTTGCCTTTAAACCAAAAGCAAGTAGGTGTGGGCCATCCAAATCCCGGTGTTGCATTATTTTTGCTCCACCTGTGGCAAGACTGGCTTCTGCCTTTTTGAAACCAAGTCGGGCCATGGATTTCTGTCATTTGTCTGTCTCGCAGCTGCCCTGGGAGGAAGACTATAGCCCGAGCTCCCCAGAGACCACCTCTGATACAGAAGAGGGTCTACAAACGGCGGAGGCTTGGATTCAGGCGAGGAGGCAGTTTCGAACTGAGCTGGAAAGCTTAGGGGACATTGAAAAATGGCTGACTCAAAAACCTTCCCTCAGCAATCAAGAAAGGAGGTGCTGGCAAAGAATAAAGGCACACAGAGCAGACAGGAGGGCTGCTGTCAAATCAGCTGTGACTGACAGCCTGGACGTAAGTACAGAAGTGCGTGGGAGATGGCGTCTGCTGTCAAATCAGTAGAGTGACGCTGCTTTATGCCAGCTGATGCCACACTGATGGGCATGGTGATCCTGGATAATGGTGATCTCAGGGTATTTTCTAATCCTTTTCAGCATTCACCACAAAAACGCAGCCAGCCCTGGAAGAAGGGTAGGGTTCCCCTTGTTTGTGCACCATACCCCCAGGCTCTTGGCACGCTGCATGACCTCCTGGACAAAAAGAAGCTGAGCATTGTGGGCATATTCAAGAACGCTGGTATGGACGGGAGGAAGATCAAGAGAGCAGACTTCATTAAAGTCATCAAGGAGGTACATAGGGAACAGAAAAGTAATGAACTGCTGCCACTCTGCCCTATTTTCCTGCATGCCCACCCAGAGCAAGTGGAAGAGCTTCAGCAAGGGGCCTTTTCGCTTGCCTTACTCTGAGAATGGCTCCCACAACCTGTGAAAAGCTGAAGGGCAAAGGGGAGGGGCAGCTGCAGAGATGCACCTGCAGAGTGAGTCCTAGCAGGGAGTGAAGAAACCCGTTGCCTCATAGATTTGGAAGACAGTCATCGTTCAGTAATGTGGCTGCCAGGATCCTGCTGTAGACCCTGAACTGGCACTGAACCTCCCAGTGTTGATACTTGGGTCTTTCTCCCACCAGGCTCCTACATCTCCCCACTGCACTCTCAGTACATGTTCACACAGCATGGCTCACGCTGGGCCTCACTGGAATAACAGCAAAGCTTGCCCCTCCCGCTCTGGGGCAAGCCTTGATCTTTTGGTAATCCCACTGTCATTTTCTGTTTTGGTTGCCAGACCAAAGTTTCCATCAGCGACAAGGATCTGGAGGATGTGGTCATCTTCTTGACTTCGTCAAAACCAGGGAATTTTATAAGCCTTGAAGATCTGATTGACTGTCAAAAGCAGTGGCTGGAAATGAGGAAAGGGCAATCCCAGGATAGCAAAACCGGTGAGAGGAGAGCACTGGGTTGGGAAGGGATCTCTACACACACAGGAAATGCCAAAGGGGGTCCAGAATATGGCTTCTTGAGACCATTGTCCTAGAGCAGAGTGGCCAGAAGGAGAGTTGTAGGGAGAAGCTTAATGATCTGGGGGATGTTCAATATCATAGTCAGCCCAATTGCAGGAGACAGGTTAGCCGATCTTTCAGGTTGGGATCAAAGTCTGAACCCTGTGGTTTAACATCCTGTACTGGATTTTTATTTGTTAGCATTCATCATCCAGCTCACCCAAAGCAGACCCTTTCTCCAGCTGCTGGTGGCAGCTGGAAAACCCCAAAGAGCTTATTCTTTAGTAAGCTCTGTTGGGAGTTCCAACCAGCACAACGTGCCAAACCCCTTTGTCTTAAACATGGATCCGATGTTCCTTTCTCCTATGCTCTAACGTGGCTTCTCTGGGCTTTTTGTTTGTTTGTCTTCTAATCTATCCTAGGTGTAGGTGCTCAGTTCCAGAAAGCCACCTGCAAAACTGCCACTTGTCTACCTTCTTCTGGGGGCACAGCCAAAGGGATGAAGCCTCATGCTCCTACCAAGCCTGAAAGAAAGTTAATACACTTGGAACTTCCACCAGTCAACACCGAGCCAGAACGACGGCATCTGAGCTGTGACGAAATGGAAGAGATTGGAAAAAACTTGAGAGAGAGGAGACGGTGGGAGAAGGTACTGTGTATGAGGCAGGAGAACAAGTGCACCTCCATGCCTTGGTGAATGTGGGGTGGTTTAGAGGACAGTGCAGCAGTAGAGGAAAGGGCAAGGCGTTACCGTGAGTATTAGCTTCTCAGTATTCTCTTGAGCACGTGGTGCCTTGCAGCTGAGGTGCTACAAGCCATCTCAAACAATTCGTTTGGCTTCTGAACACTCTGGTGAGGTAAACATTTTTTCTGGGTAACTGGCAAGAAGGAGGAGGAGGAGAAGTTGAAGCAGGTTCTACGTCTGGGGACGGAGTTGTCTTCTGATCATCTCGTCAACCTGTCCGCCAGACAGGTGATTTGTCCCTTAAGGTGCTGATAAGCACTTTGTCCTGTTCAGTTGTGAGGCTCAGTGCAAGGCGGTCCAATGGAAACATAACAGTGACTCGCTCATTCGCTCACTCCCAAATGTTTTCTTTGGAGCATCTTGGGTTGGATGAACTCTGGCAGAATCCAGAGCTACCTCCTCTTGCCAACATGCTGCGCCACAGTCACCGGCAATGGGGAGAGCCTCTGGCTCCCTGACACAATCAGAAATGAGAAGGTGACTGCAAGGCTTTTTTCATCTGAGGCACCTGTCCCCGGTGTGTTGCTCTTCTACTAAGCTCTCCAGGGAGTATCTGTCTGAGGACCCAGCTCTGGATGGGAACCGAACTCCCAGAGGAGTGCCTGTCCCTGTGATCCCACTGTAGGGTGCCAGCTCCTGTCTGCACATACTTTTGAGATGAATCCCTGCCTGTAGCTTCCCTGAAGGGAATGCAGCAACTCCGGGGCCCCACCGAATGCTAACCGGGACCTGCCCTTTACTTGCAGAACAAAGACAGCCCGATAGAACGGAAAGAAAAGTGCCGGATGGTGAGATCTGGGGATGGCCCCATTGATGAGCACTGTCTGCCGTCAACTGTAGAGGCCGATTTGGGAGAACTGGTTGACCGATACCGTAGGAATGCCGTCACGAGCTATCTGAAGAGCTCCAAGCTGTGCAAAGAGCGCAATGTTCACGTTGCCGAGCCAACGCTGCAGAAAGGTAGAGCAAAGACCAAGAGCCTGATGTGAATGCACTAAATCTGACAAGTTCATGTCTCTTCCCAAGCCCAGAAGCACAACTAATGTCAGGGGGCACTGCTGATAGAGCGTGTTTGCAGCCCTCAGAGGGCCATGGCAGATGCTGCCAGTTGGGGTCAGCAATATCATCAGCAGGGCCAGAGCAGGGCTGAGATATCAAACGGTTCTGCAGATCAGCCAGGGCCCTCTCCCGTTGCCCCTGGAACGGTAGCCAGGTTCAGCCGAGAGTGCAGCTCACGAAGCAAGTTTGTGGTGATGGGGCACGTCCAAGGTCAAGCCAGGAAGTCAGACCAGGGTCTGGATCAGTGGGTTCATAGCCAGGAACAGGCACGGCTGTGGCTGAGCTGCAGACTGCTACGCCTACAACATCTAAGCTGAAACGGGGCTTATGATCCCAGGGTGAGGCATGACTGTTTTCTCTCTGCACTTTGCCAACAGCCCTGCTGCATCCAGGAGACAAGATCATCAAGGAAGGAGAAGACGTAAGGAAGATCAGGCAGCCTGGAGGATACTACAGCACAGGACGTGCTGATGCTTCATCACGTGGGAGCACCTCCAGATCAGGAACTGCATCTGGAAGCCAGGCCAAGGAGGCAGAAAATAGGTTTGTTCAAAGAGGGCTGAAGATCAGTTCCCTCCTGCTGTGTACCACCCCTCTGTGCTCAGTCCCCACGGCGTCAGAGGCAGTACCGAGGTATTGGAGTGAGCCATTAGGATGCCGCAAGGCAGCGAGCAACAGCGAAGGGGCAGATCCTCTTCTCAGCTACATGGCCACTCCCGCGTTTTAGCTAAGTCATTGGGTTGCAGTGGTGCTGGTGAACAGTTTGTGGTGCCTGGCAGGAACCTTGCAGACTAGCTGGGACTAGCTCTGTGCTCTGAACCACAGAGGTGGCAAAACTTCTCCTCAGACTGAGCCAACGCTTGTCTGAAATCCCCTCAGAGAACGTTTATTCTTGT